TTTTGCACTTCTTTTGTGCTCCTGATCAGAGCAGATGTACAGACTACGGTGGCCAAGACCCGTTGCCAGAAGATACCAAGTCAAATCACTTAACTGTGTTATGTTTCTACCCTGTGACTAATTAAAATCACTTGTTCTACATTTAATGCTAATAAAACTGCTAGATATCTGTGCGGTGATCTGTTGGTCACAGTTAAGACATATGGGCACACAGCAAAGCAGATATACCAAGATCCCAAAATAAATAATCTCTCAGAACATTATTTTTAATCCTGTGTTTGATATTTCAGGTTCTAAACTTCCTTTCATCTGTAAGAATGTGGAGTTTGGGGGGTGGTATAGCAATTCCTGACATTGTTTATTACATAAAATTGCAAAAACTGTAGAGAAGTGGTTTCAGACGCTAAACCAAACCATGTTTTTCAATCTTTATATGACTCATAGACCCATAGGTTTAGAAGGGACCGCAAGGGTTAGCTAGTCTCACCTCTGGCCAATGGCAATCCTGGCTTTAATTCATGATCTACAACAGCATCTGAATGGCCTGTTTTCATAAAACTGGTGCATCTGAAGACAGGGCAGCTTTAGATCACATTTGCTAATCATAGGGCCAATCCTGCCTTCTGTGAGATGCTGACCACCCCAAATATTTCACTGCTTCCACCAGGAATTGAGGGCACTCAGTGAACTTGTCACAGCATGATTCATATGAATGAACATGATCCATGCTTTGAAAAATTAAGGATCTCTAGGATTGCAAAGGCATTAAGTCCACTATAGCATGCATGTGAGAACGATGTGTAAATAGTGGAAGGATGCTGTGTTACAGGTTAGCCAGTGTGCAGAAAGTTGTGCGTCAAAAAGTAATTGTATACAAAGCAACAGCAAACTCAAGACTAATGTCAAACAAAGCAGTAACAGAAGTTTGGCACAGAACGGTGCCATATATTGTACAAATACCTTTGCAGCTGTTTTCTTTTTAAAATATAGACTTTGTAAACAGGATATTTTGATAAGGAAAGATATTTATTAAGCATGAGTCATAGACTGTAATTTTTTTTCTACTGAAAGGATTTCACATGGAAATTACAATCTCTGCTCAGCATACCTTAGTTCATGGCAGTAAATTACTTTTCATATGTAGTACAAGAACAAGTATAAGAACATTCAGATATACCTCTAATACAGTCTGTACAGTAAATGTTGAAGAGGAGAAAACACATACTATTTTTAAAGTGAAATCCAGTTCCTTGAAATATAGAAATATTGTTATTCTTTGTCTTAGCTGAATACTATTTGGACAGAAGAATCAATGTGGGAATAGGCAAACCACAAGGATCTGTTGGTTTGAATTCAGGATTGTATTCAAACCCCAAAAGATAAACTGAGCCCAAGTTTTCAGAAACTCAACTGGATTTTGGTCATTAGATAACTAATCCTATTAGTGTGTTGTTCTAAAAATGCAAGGGGGAAAAAAAAGAAAAGAAAAAGCCCTTGGACAAATATTGTTCAGCAAATAAATTTTACAAAAAATGCAACTGTTCAAAGAAAATCAAATTATATTTGATTTCATATATATTTATTTCATTTCATATTATGATTTATTTTAGAAAACACATTTAAAAGTGCTGTAGCTATGAACAATAACAATAGTTGGGACCGCTGATAGGATGGTATTAAAATGTCACAATGCACTCACTAATTCTACATTTAGATATGTCTAAAATTGATTTTAACAAAATGATTGCTTAAACTTTGTTTTGCTCTAACAACCAAATCAAATATAACATTCTCTTCAAATAACTTGTGAAGCATAGACACTCTGCATATTAAAGTTTGGTTGAATGAAAATAAGAAGTTTTATATGAGTATTCTTTTTATAGTATAAATAACTAGGATTCTAGATAAGAAAATTGTATTTACATCCCAACCTCATTTTGCAGTAATGTGGTCTACTTATTAGCAAGAGACCTGACAAAGTATTGCTGCCAAGTTCTGCACATTATAGAATGACATCGCCAGTAATATCTTTCTTTGCCTCAGAAACATTGATGTTGAGAACTGAACATTTGGTCCCCTGAAATTAGTAATGCTTCCTTCATATTTTTGGCTTGGATCACTTTTTTTTTTAAAGTATCTTCTAATTTCGTCTTGATTTTTTCCCCCAGCCACAAAGATCAGATTTAAAAGAAAAAAAATCATACTAAGTCTGAACACTGCTGAGAGCTTCTTCATACTATTTCCTGTTGCATTGTTCTATAAACCACTAAATTGCAGTGACTTATTTCCTCTGAATTACCTGGATTATTTGGCCATGGGAAAAACAAATGGTTTTTGTACCCAGTGCAAATATCGCTGCTTTAAATCCCAATGATACTATTGAATAGCATAATTTATCACATTCTAAAGAGACCATAAAATACTACTATGCACAATTTTCTCTTTCTTTGTTTTATAACCAATATGTTTTTTCCCCTTCAACAGTGTTATGGGTTGACTCTCCATAGAGCCTTCCCCTCCCACAGCGTGAAGTAAAATAGGCAAACAGGAGCAACACCAACACAAACATGTTTCACTGATGCTAAATAAATGTCATGTAAATCCAAGCATTTCACATAACTGACCTGAACCTCTACTCATTGCTTACCCATAACTCCCACTGAAGGCAATGGCAGTTTTGGGTGATTGGATCAGATCTAATAATGATAAGTATTATAGTGTAATATATCCCACTAAAGCCCCATGGTTTTCTTTCCCACATATAGTATATATGTATATAATAGTACAGGATTCTTTGGTTCAGGATTCTACAGTGTAATGGCACTTCTATGGTACAGTGAAGGGATTTTTAATAGTAATTGTAGTTGATTTCTCTAGGTTACCTAGCAGCCACTGAGAGCATAGAAGATTTGAAATCTGTGGTTAAAGTTTAAGCCTAATAAGCTAAAGTAATTGATCAGTTCCCCATGGATTTTCTTTGGTCACTGAGGTGTGTATGGAGACTACAGGAGATTACTTTATTGTGCGATTTTAGCAGAGCAGCAGAGTCTCCTTACAATGGGTCATATACTGCTCTCCTGGGGGAAAACATGTGGGAGGGAGAGAGAGGGAAGAACACTCCAGCAGGGGGAATCTTTCCAGGCCAGAGAGGTGGAGTTTCTCCCCCAGGGAGGTTTTTGGCCCCCATGAGCTGTAGCTCCCTGACAGCTGCCAGGGGACAGGGCCATCTGGATGGAAGCCCTGCAGCTTCACTCCAGATCCAGGGCCACCTGCTCCCTGGCTGCTTGGCTCCATTTAAAAAGTCAGCTAAAAAAGACAACTCTGTAGAATTGCAGTGATATAAACGTTATTGATAATCCTGATGGTGCAGCACCATGGAACTGCATGGGAGGCTAACGGGCAATGCACAATTGGTACAGGAAGGAGGAAATGGTTTTTGGAGAGGGGCAAGGGGGAAAGGGGTTGAAAATAGATTTCGTGCTTATGAAAGTTACTGGACTGGAAGTCCTGGAGAATAAACTTCCCTCTTTATCCACGGAACAGATACATGGCAGACAGTAGTAATATAAATTTGCAATTGTCACCCCTGCCAGCAGGTTTCATAACTGAACTGAAGGAATCTCTTCTATGAGTGAGAAATTAGAACAGTGAATCTCTATGCTGACTTAGGCTATGGATACACTATGGACTTTACAGTGGCACAGCTGTACCGCCACAGCTGTGCTGCCGTAAGGTATCCTGTGTAGCCGCTCTATGCCAGTGGGAGAGAGCTCTCCATTCAGTATAATTAAACCACCCCCAATGAGCGGCAGTAGCTATGTCAGCAGGAAATGCTCTCCCACCAACATAGTGCTGTCCAAACCAGCCCTTTTTTCCATGAAACTTATGTCAGTCAGGGGTGTGAAAAAACACACCCTGACCCATAGGCGCCGACTCTATGAGTGCTGCGGGGCTGGAACACCCACGGGGAAAAATTGGTGGGTGCTCTGTAGCCACCGGCAGTCAAGCTCCCCTCCCGCCCTGCCCCACCTCCTCCTCCACCTACCTCCCAGTGCTTCCCACCCGGCCACCACCAAACAGCTGTTTGGCAGCGTAGCAAGCTCTGGGAGGGAGGAAGAGGAGTGGGAATATGGCACACTCAGGGGAGGAGGCGGGGAAGAGGCGGGCCTGGGGTGGGGATTTGGGGAAGGAGTCAGAATAGGGGCAGGGACGGGGTGGAGTTGGGGCGGGAACTTTGGGGAAGGGGTTGGAATGGGGGTGGGGCAGAGCCTCATGGAAGGGGTGGAGTCGGGGGGGCCAGGAGCAGAGGGAGGGTTGAGCACCCACCGGTGGAGCGGAAGTCAGCGCCTATGCCCTGACTGACAAAAGTTTTACTGACAAAAGTTGCTAGCGTAGACATAGCCAAAGTCTTTGGTGTCTCTGCTGAGATAGACAACACGGGTGCCAAGTTTGATGACAGCTTTTGCAGTGTGTACACTTGTCCACTAGGAAATAAGCTGAGATCAACAATTCATTTTATATACGCTGCCAAACAGGCTGGAAATTGTACTTTTGTCTGATCCACCATGAGGCCAAACCAAAAGGAAGCAGATGTTGGCTGCATATCTTGGAGCCAGGTCTCAGTTATTTTCAGACCCTTCAATACATCTTTACATTGACATTGCATCCATGTTGCTCTCAGTAATTCATTTATGCGCCTGACATTTAAAAAATCTAGACCAAGATTTTCAAAAGTGATTTTGGGTGCCTCTATTTTAGGGTTTCCCATTTGTAGACACTTTAACAGGACCTGATTTTCAAAAGGGTCAAACTTTCTGAAAATCAGATCCGCTTTGAACTGTCTCACATTGAGTTAGCAAAATTTAATGCACTCATAATCACTAGTCATATCTGAAAATCTTGTCCCTAACCAGAACAGACTGATTCATAAGAATATCATGTATCAGCATACTTAATGTGTCAGTAAAAAACACAATAAGAAGATCCATGTGTCAGAGTGCTTAGGGTAATTACAATGTAAACTTTATTCACATGACTTATGTAACAGAAAAAGGGAAGGAGACATTTTGCCCTTGACATAACCATATTTTACACTGTATCTCTTGAGAGCAAATGTATAAATCAGGGAGGAGGGGGATAGAGAAGCCGTGGTGGATAATCTGCCTTTCTTCTTGTGGTGAATTCACCTGTGTGGAAATTGTGATTGGTCTGCAGAAGAGGAAAGGAGATGGCTATTTTTTGTTCAAACTGTGACATTATGAGAAAATGGTAACGTAATGGCAAAGGGAGAGGGAGTACAGAATATCTAAAAAATCAGATAAAACATACCATGAAACAAAGTTTGCTTTTAAATGTGTGTAAATAGTCTTTGATCAGTGAACAGGATCTTTATGACGGGCTGATATTGCAGATTAACAAACATTTGCTACAACAGTTTCATAAGTGGTTAGGCTTTATCCAGAGAATGGATGCTAAGACGAGTAGTTGGCAAGGAAATCTAATCAATTTGATGTGAATAAACTTTTTTGTACAATTAGTGGGACCTTCTCCTTCTGAAGGCTCCATTCAGAATAGAGTAACATGGATTGGTACAGCTGCATTGTAAAAGAAAAATCCTCCTGAGGGTCCTCTTCAGATTTTCATGGCTTTTCTGCTTCCTCTAGTGCACCCTGCGGAAAATCTAAAGGAGAGAAAGATAGATGAGGATGCTTAGAAATTGGATTATACTTGGCAAGCATACACAATACATTGTTGATTCCACTGCAGTTTAGAAAAGTCTTAGTTATACTAGAGGAAATAATTTGCTGCATACAAAAAACGCTATGCTAAAAGAATGTTAAAGTTGCAAAAGCAAGCACTCAAAAGTTAGGAAATACCAGAATTAAGGTTGCCTGTGCAAATTAATTCTGCCCTGTTGTGCATATGCAATATGATACAGTCTTAAACTTATACCACTTTGTCCACAGGAAAAAACGGCACAGGACACACGTCAAGTAGATATAAAATGCTACAATTGGTAGCATTTTACCCCTAATTTGCCCAGGTATAAATGCCTACAAAAGCTGCAAAGCAGTGGAGAATCAGGCACTTTGTTTATTAATAGAACGCATCTTTTTAAATGGCTATATGTATATTCAAGGCTGACACTTTGGAGAGACTGATATAGCAAACTACTGGTCTTGGAGAAGTTTCATTTATGAAGCCTTGTTGATGTTTTTGTTTTAAAACGTCAACAGTACAACAGGAGGCGTGTCAAATTTGAATTTGCTCTAAATCCACACCACAGCGAACCTGAAGGAAATCAGAAATCTGGGAGTAAGTGGTCAAAAATTCCCAGACGGAAGTAAATGTGGAAAAAGAGAAGAGTGAATAATCAAATTAAAGCCTGTCTAAACACAAACTTGCATGGTTTAATTAAACTGGTTTAGTTAAACCAGAGCAAACCGGTGTGGGTTTACTCTTATTTCAGCTTCAAAGTAGCTTATTGTGTTCTAACTTAAAACCAAACTAAACCTGGTTCAAGCCAAAATAAAATAAATAAATATAAGAATGCCTAGCTCTTATATAGCACCTTTCATCCATAGATCTCAAAGCCCTTTACAAAGGAGGTCAGTATCACTAACTCCGTGCAATGGACAGGGAAACTGAAGCACAGATAAGTTAAATGATTTTCCCAGGAGGCCAGAGGCAGAGTCAGGAACATAACCCAGGCATTGTTTTGTCCACTAAGTCACACTGCCTCCATAACCATGTCCACACAATCTTTTTCACCTGTTTAACTAAACTGGTTTAAAATTACACACCTTCAATTTAATTGGTGTAACTCTGTGTGTAGACAAGCCCTCAGAGTTTCATTTTTTTAGGTAGGCTATGTCTTTTGGTACTAGGGGATTTTGACATGTCAATGAATGGCTGGGTGTGAGGGCAAGAAGTTGAACAAACTTTACTGAGAGCCTGGAGACTGAAGCTGCAAAATGCCTGAAAGGCAAACAGAGAGCAAGAGCTCTGGGATAAGACCATGATGACACAAAAGACCAAAGCGGTGGCTTCTCAGCAAGAGCTTTAATTCCCCAAGGAGCTATGAGGTTTCCCCTCACCAAATTGCCTATTGTTTAAGAGGACAATTAAAAATATCATGTTGAGAGCTGATCAGGGTTTACAAAGCTCATCTATGGCATGGTAGCTCCTTTGTTCAAAACTGTTAGCATGTAGCACATGCTGGGGATCCACAGGGATCAGCATTAGGCCCTATCCTAGGTAATGCCTTCATTAATGATTTAGAAGAGGAAGCAGGTTAATTATATGTGCAGATTATCAAAAACTAAGATGAGCTGCAGATATTGGGCAGGAGAAAGAAATACTGCAATGAAGCCTAGAGAGATTAACAAGAGGGACAGAAAAAGAAATCAGATTTAAGTTGAAATACATTTGGGGAATAAACAATCTGAAACTCGCATGCTTCTGGGAGATAGAGACGCAGCAGCTGAAAGAGACCTTGAGGTAATAGATTACAGCAAATGAAACAAAAGTTTGCAACATGATATTAGGCCAAAAAGCCCAATGCAGTTTAGAACTGCAGAGGCATCGCATCATGGAGCAGGGAGTTAACAGACTGTTTATGGATGGCTCCGCTGTGATCACATCTGAAATATTGTGTTCAGCTTCAGAAAGATATCAAAAAATTGGCCTGATCCAAAATCCATTGAAATCAATGGAAAGACTTCAGGGACTTCAGTGGACTTTAGACCAGGCCCTCAAAGAACAACAAATATGACCTGGTGACTGAAAACACTGCTTCGGAACAATCTTACAGAAGCTAAATATGCATCTAGTAGATTAGCTCAGAAACAACAAAAGGGTGGATATGGAACTTGATAGTCTATATCTGAAGGGCATAAACAGCATGGAGAGAGTAATTATTTATGTTGGGACAGGAGGGTATAAGTAGTAGTAGTGGCATGCAATTAAGAAATGGAACGTTTAGCTAAATATCAGAAAAACTTCCTGACAGTGAGATATTGTAGCCTTCAGAATAGTTCCCCAAGGGAAAAGACTCATCATTTGGACATTTTAAATTAGACTAGACAGAAAACCTAAATGCCTAAGTTTTCAAATGTGAATAATAATTGTGGGTGCCCAACTTAAAAGTGCCGGATTTTTCCTTTAATAGGTCTCTATTTCAGCATCCAGAATTTGAGTCCTGCAAAATCATTAGATACTTTTGAAGATGCAGGCCAGAAAATGTCTGAATGTAGGGGACAGGTCTACTGGCAGGAAGATGGACTGAATGACTTAATACATCTTTTTCTTTTGTGTCCTGACTGATTCTGTGCACTGATTCCGTGCTAAAAATGAAAAATTAATCGTTATTTGGGATATAAAATAACGCCCAAGAGTCTCAATAACATATTTTCATGACATTGATTTCTTCATGTTATTATTTCTAAAAATGGCCATGATAAATTATAGTGCTTATGATAAACAATGTAAATTCCTGAAATATATAGTAGATTATCCCAGACAAAGGTGCTAGTCTTTTCTGATATAATTATAGGTTTGCAGAACAAAGGAAATTCAGTGGGCACAATTTATCTTGATTTCACATATCTTTTTGACACAGCACCAAATACAAATTTAAAGAACTTAGACACTGTATGACTAAAAGTATCATGGAATAAGTAAATTATGGGTGAGGTGCATTTATGTATGAGGTGTAAATTATGTCTGGTATTAAATTGTGCAACTGCCTCATGGAATGATGTATAAAGATGTGTCCTTCAACAATGACTCTTGCAAGCTATGACCTAGACTTTTCTACGTGCAGTATTAATTAACCTGAAGAACCATGTAAAATGCACATTGATTAAATTGGCATACGATAAATTATGGTACAATGGATAATTAATATCAGGGAGGTTAATCATCAGCATGCTCTGGCAAGCTTATGCAGAAACACAAATAAATATGTTGTAAGATTTAAAATACTGCAGTGATTCTCCAGTTCATTTAGAAAGAATTCCCCACCTGGATCAAGTCTTTTTCCACCCTCCCAGTCCCCCCATTGCATGGTTCTCAAAATGTTTCATTCTACAGACCACCAAGAAAGCATTTATAGACCACCAATCTCCCACAAAAGCAGTCTGCAAACGTTGTCATGGATAAATTTACATTAACTACAAAGATTAACAATCTACATAGCTACGGACTGGGAAACCCTTACTTAGAAAACAGTAATGATGAAATTCACCCCTGTGCTGTACCAGCACTAAGTCCTCAAAATAGGGCTTAACCATGGGAGTGATTTAAGTCGGAGCATAGACCATGTGCTGGTGATTTTCACCTTAAAGGAGTACGCTGGGAGTTCCAATTACCAAAACTGAATATAATAGTATGTAAGAGATGCCATCCTCAGCTGCTCAATGACAGGCCTGAAAACCATTTTTTGCATTTGACAACTAGAAAATGTCCCCACAATGTTCACACTGTTCTCTAGATATTTCATATACAAGCAAGTATTCAGAATATCGCAGTTATGTTAATTCACTGTCAACTGAAAAGTTTTTAAAGGTGATCATCGACTATAGAGATATCATTAGTAATAACAATAAATCCATGCTTAGAATATGGAGTGCAGTTTTCAGCCCCTCATTATAAAAAGACAAACATGAGAGAAAGTTCAAAGAAGGGCAAATAAAATGACAAAAGTGCTAGAATGCAGTGTTGTTGTAGCTGTGTCGGTCCCATGATATTGGAGAGACTAGGTGGGTGAGGTCCAACAAAAGAAAGATATTACCTTACTCACCTTGTCTCTCTAAAAGTGCTACAAGACATCTGAAGGATACTTGATAGAATTATTTATATGACTAGTGGGAAAAAAGCCATTTTAAATGAATTACAAATCCTTGAGTGACATATTGCAGAAGGGAGAGGAAAGGACTGTGTTCTGCAGTCATGAATTGGTCAAACAAGGCATAATGGTGTATAAGTTAAGATAGAAACATTCAGGTTAGACATGAGACAACATTTAAGAGTCATGACAATTAGGCAATGGAATAAACTGACTAGTGAGGTAGCTGAGTAACCTACATTAGGGGTTTTCAAAGATTCATTAGGTGAAATTCTAGTGGAATTATCATAGAAAATGCAGAGGAGTTGGATTGGATGACCTGAGGGGCCTTCTCCAACCCTATCATCTATGATGTTATGATTCATTCCAAGCAGAATATTTTGGACTCTCATGAATTACTGGCTGAGTATCCTGGATACTCGTGTGCATTAGTTTGCTTGTAGCATGCATAAAACTCAGCCAAAAAGCTGGTTTGGAAGTGCTTGATCTACAGTATTCAATACTTCCCAACCTCTGTTTCATATGGTGACTCAGAGGCAGGACTGTTATAACCGGAAAACAAAAAGCTATTTTGGTTTTAGATTAGGTTATAGAAAGGAGACACCACTTCCCACACACAAAAGGGGAGGGAATACACAATTTCATGGACAGTTTATATACTGCTATTCCTATACCATACATGAATAGCCTCCAAATAAACCAAAGTTTTAAAGTCACTGCTTAACATAAAATATGTAAAAGGAGGAAAAGGGCAAATGTACCAAATGACCAAAGTTAATAATAGTTATTTTTGCTTCTTTGTTAGCAAGATAAGACTTAGACTTTTCCCAGCA